AGTAAAAATTATATGGGGTCCAGGCGCAGATCAAGGATTTTTTTTCCACGGCGAGAGGTGGGGGGGGGGGGGGTGTGATCCCAATAAAAAAAAATATTTCAATCCAGAAATTTCTTGACGAGCCAAAAAAAGAAACTCTTTTCCCAAACGTGAAAAACATATTTCGTGTGTGTGTTTGTGTGTGTGTGTGTGGGGGGGGGGGGGTCGTTGACTTTTAAAGCTTCATACCTAAGACTTTTCATACCATTTTAACACAGATCCGCGTTTTCGAGGAAGGGTCCGCGTTTTCTAGGGGCGGTGAGGGGGGGGGGGGGTTTCATGGCCACTTTTACTTGGTTTAGTATATACAGTTAACTGCCCCCAACCCCCTCTAGATCCGCGCATAGGGTCATTTGAAAATAGTATTCTCAAGAACCCCTGGATTAGAATGAGAAAATTTCCAACATAGCATACATTCATTTTTTATGCCCCCGTATCGAAGATTCAGGGGTATATAGTTTTTGCCCTGTCCGTCCGTCTGTCTGTCTGTTTGTCCGCAAAAACTTTAACATTGCCCATAACTTTTGATTGGTTTGAGCTATGGCTTTCATATTTCACATGTGTATTCCATGTGACAAGACCTTTCTTTGGGTATCACCATATTTGACCTTTTTACCTTGACCTTGGAGTTTGACCCAGTTTTGCAAAATTTTACCCAACTTTAACCTTGGCCATAACTTTTGAACCGTTGGTGCTAGGGCTTTCATACTTGACATATGTAATCCTTGTGGCAAGACCTTCCTTTGGATACCAACAACTTTGACCCTTTGACCTTGACCTTGGAGTCTGACCTACTTTTTAAAAACTTTTAACCTTGGCCATGACTTTTGAACCGTTAGTACTAGGGCTTTCAAAATTCACATATGTAATCCTTGTTACAAAACCTTCCTTTGGATACCAACAATTGTAATCCATTGACCTTGACCTTGGAGTTTGACCTACTTTTGAAAAACTTAAACCTAGGTCATAACTTTTGAACGATTGGTGCCTCAGCTTTCATATTTCACCAGTATATTTCATGTGAGAAGGCCTTTCCTTAGGCACCATTAATTTTGACCATTTGACCTTGACTTTAACCTTTTCCATATCTATTCAATGTTTGCTGCTAGGGCTCTTATATTTCACAGGTATATTCCTCGAAACAAGACCTTACTTTGGGTATCAACATATTTGGTTTGCATTTGAGAAAGTTTAACATTTGCTATAAGTTGCCATATGGGGGCATCAGTGTTTCACAAACACATCTTGTTATTTTCAAAGCTTGATTCCAGGGAGAAGGTTTGGGCCGGAAAGAATGTTCATAATTTAACATAGGAATTTATATATCCCCCAAATGAAGTGTGTGGGTTTGGGGTGGGGGTGTTTTGAGGCTTTTGGAATCACACTGTCCGTCTGCCTAGCTGTCCGTCTGTACGTGATAGTTTGCCCAGGATATAACTTTGTTATGAAGAAACTGGAAGGTCATACTTGGTACAAAGATTACTAATGATCTGAGGGTGTGTCATGGTTTTGATCCAACATCATTCCGGCAAGTTAAAGGTCACTGGAAAAAAAATAGCAAAGTTCTGTCCGACCCATTTATTTGTAATAGAGAGTCACTGGAAGCTCATTCTCGATACAGGAATTGCTTATGACAAAAGGGTTTGCCACGACCTTCATCCAACGTCATTCCTGTAAGTTCAAGGTCACTGACATGAAAGTGTAAGATTACTGTATGTGCTATAATTTTGGAAGCTCATACTTGGAACAAAGATTGCTTATGATCCACCGGTTTGAGATAACATAGCACTAGACTGGCAGAAGAAGTGGCAAAATTCGTGCCTGGATTATAAATTTATAAGGGGTGGGAGGAACACAAGAAACTTTTTCTCAGATTGCTAGAGATGGGTTTGTCCTGACCTTGAACAAAGGTTTTTCCCGGCAAGTTCAAGGTCACTGGCAGATAAATATTATTTTTTTTTCCATGCTATAACTTTGTAATATAAAATCACTGGAAGCTTTTACTTGATACAGAGATTGCAAAAGTGCAATATTCTTTTTCAGGAATATCTTTGTCATTGAGTATCACTGGAAGCTCATAATTTGTTCAAAGGTTGTTTTTGATCTTAACATAGGTCATTTAGGCAAGTTCAAGGTCACTGATATAATAAGTGTAAAATTCAAAAAGGTCTAGTCGCCCACGTAGCGCAGTGGTAAGAATGTCTGCTCTAGAGTCGTGGATTAAGGAGTTGATCCTTACGTCGCAGGTTCGAATCCCACTGTGGGACACAGAGACCGATCCTTCGGATGAGACTGTATAAACTGTGGTCCCGTCCGACAGTAGGTGCTAGCACGAAAAAGATCCCTCACTCTTCAATGGCCATGAGTGCCGGGTATAGGTCAAAATTTGCAGATCTCCATCGGCAAATGGTGGCGTCTCCATATGATTGAAAAATTCTCGAGAGGGACGTTAAACAACATACAAACAAACAAAAAGGTCTATAATTTTGTAATAGAAAAAATTGCATGCATTTGCATTTCACTGAAAGGATGATAAATATATCATCCAGAGTGTGTAATGGCCTTGACTTAAATTCGAGGTCACTTAGAATATGAAGTTTTGGATGAATAGTCTGAAAGAATGCGTGACTGAGAATTTTTTATGTCGGTGACATACAGATGGTGTTTGCTCTTAACCAGCTGCAGAATGTGTCATGGCTTGATGCAAGGTTATTTGGACAAGTTCAAGTTCACTGACAGGGGAATTTTACATTCTTTTACTGTCTTTCTACTGTTGAAACATTGCAAGTTGATGCCCCTTACAGGATTGTTTATAACCTTAAAATGTTGCATGACCTTGACTCAAGGTCGCTATGTTCTGTCTGCTCCGACGGAAGACCTATTCGTTGCATTGCAACGAGCTCGGCTCTAGTTTTGGTTTATTATTTTGATTGACATTTTAACTAAAGGAAAATATATAGCTACAATCAAGGGATCTTTTGAGGTATACTCTTGTGTCAGGGAGAAAGCCACACTGCGTACGTCTCAAAAGCTATTTAGATTTTCATCTTGTTAAAAGCTGTTTTGAAAATGATAAGAATATTATTTTTTGCCTTATAGACATTTTTAAGCTTTGATTACCGGTAGTCTATTTTGTAGAGCAGAGACTCCCGATACAAATAGTTTGGTATCAAAGATTATCAACAGCACTGGCTGTACAAACATCGGATCAAAGATTATTTGAAATCAAATATTTTATAGATTTCTCTGTAGATCGGTGTTTTTATGTGATGTGCACATTTCCCGCCCCCTTCATCTCTCTCTCTCTCTCTCTCTAGGGGTCTGTTCCCTAAAATGAGATTTCCGTAGAGTTACACAATTTCACTGGTTTTTGTAACAACTGCATTCTGGATAAAGTATTGGTAAATTATACAAATAGTAATAATTAATGAAAACAATAATACGGGTTAGTTTCAAAGATAATGATTAATTTATGTCATAATGCTCATTTCACAGTATGGCTTGCATCATCTTGTATACATATACGTTTCTGCAAATTTGTTGTCTTCGTGGTATTTGATACTAAATGGCAGTAGCAGGCCATCTGAATTGATGACAGCCCTGGCAATCTACAGACGTCTGTGCAGCAATGTAGAAAAACGTCTTTCTTTGAAATACAAAATACATTGAATGTATCGATTTCACATAAATCTGTTTGAGATATTAAAGTGCACTACATATATTTTTGGGCGTTGGTTCATTTCAATATTAAAGTACTGGTCAAGTTTTGAGATTGGCAGATCAAATGCTTAAACTATATTATTTTCCGTGCCTTATCTTTTGAGGACAGTAATAAAATACAATTAAAAACTTATTTTTGATGTTATCCGTTTGATTTTGTCAAGAATACTTTTAACTTCAAGTTCTCCCACAATAATATTTTGAAATTTTAAGCAAATTTACGAACGGATAACTTTACAAAGGAGAAATATCTTAAACATGAAAGGACAAATGCAATTCGAATTTATTTTCTTTGTTGAAAATCAGACTTCAGTTATTTTTCCTTTTAACATTAATAAATGCATGCATGGGAATAGTATTTCTAGAATTTTATGAGGCCTGAATAAAAGAAAATACAATGTATTTATGAAAAAATTGATGAAAAAAATTGTCAGGTCATACCGGGCCCCAAGACCATAAACTGAGAAAAGACTAAAGTCAAAAATTTGAATTTTAATATCTTAAGTTTCATTCAATGTATTAGCTTAAAAATTTGCAATTGTGCAAAACATTTCAATTCAAACATATGATGAAAATTTTATTATATTATCAGAATTATTTCTAAAGTTATATCGATTTGAAATTTTGACTTAAGTCTGTTCTGTTTATGGTCTTGGGGTACTCATTATGATACAAGGGTAGCATTTGAACCAATATAGAACTGTTAGGTTATTACACTTTGATCACCTTGATTCGTAGACCTTCATCAGTGCTGGAAGGTTACTTTGTAGATTGGTAACCTTTATTTAAGCTTTTCCTACAGAAGAAGACGCGGCGGAGGCACTTCAAATAATCTTACCGTATCATGTCATGGACAGAAAACACCCTCACATTCATCCTCTTGTAAAATATTCAATATCATCATTCCGTGTAAAGGATTTATTACATATTTTAATTTTAACACAAAATTAAGGAAGTGTTGGATTATATTATAATTACAAAGTATAGGGGATGAAATATTTTTGTTATTCTGAGAGTTATCCTTTCTTGGAGTGTCGAGAGTTGAAATAGGTTGTGACATTTGCCTCGTTATTGCATTCAGCGATGTTACATAGGTTAATTCTCCAAAGCCATACAGTTAATTTTTAATTGTATATGATTTAGAGGAAAAACAAAAATGAGAGCAGCATTTTATTCTATCTTGACAATTTTATTTCATTGCATAGAACAACATAGTTAAAAATCAAAACTTGCACATGCGCAATATTTCATCAAATCAAGCAGATTATACTAAGTGATTCAGTCATCCTCGTGTAGAAAAATAAACAATACTTCATATCATTATATTATAGAAAAACGAAAAATGAAAACAAGAAAAATCATGAATATCACAGTTGGGACATGGGATTTTATTACAAAAGGACATCTGAATGGCTAGCCATGTAATGAAAACCGATTGCTATGACACAGAAAAGAAATGGATCACGTTATTTCACGTACAACGACGCTATAGTTTAATTAAGGGAAGTTTAATTTAGAACATGCACACAGCATTTTTGCTAAACCATCAGATTGGCGTTTTTATCAGCTATGACAATTAAGTAAATGTTAGAAAGGCTATGTGTTTTCCTTATGACTTAACATGTACATTGTAATTAAATTATAAATCATAAAAATCATTTTAGATAAAGAATATAGCTAACAAAACTAGAACAAAACCATTCAGCACGGAGAAATTGGCCACAGTGGAAGAATTCTGTGGATCAGAACTCGGGGATTTCTGATTTATTCCATTAATGTTACTGGTATATATAATTCTGTGATTCAGAGGCTGGATTGGCCGGAAGTCGTCTGCTAAATCTTTATCCGGTTCCGTGGGATAGTTCTGTTTCACATCATGGCGGAAAATTTCAAGCTGCAATGTAAAGGTGTATTTTATTACTGTTTTACCTTTTTTAAATATTGCGTGAAATTATCACTTAATCAGGTCCCAGGCCTAAAATGCTGTTTTTATTTATATGAATATCAATCATATCAAACAATAGTATGAAAGCTTTTAAATAAATAATTAGGCCTCTGGAACTTACATTTAATAATAATTTCCCTAAAATTTTCAATTATTTTTGCTAAATTAATCCACAACTGATTTTTGTAGTTTAACAATGTCTCTAATTCTAGGATAAACTTCAAAACCACGCTGATAATTTTCTTTCTATTACATATTCGGGGAGGAATGTTTTATTTAGATGTCGAGACCTTGATGATTAAGTTTTGTCTAGATGATTCCACGCACCTGTCTCCTAGAGACTTTGATTGTCTCTTTAAACAATGTCCAGATGACGGTTTCATAACAGGGAGGAGTGGTCAGGCTGCCTAGATATCGGTAGTACGTACTGAGGTCAGAGGGGAGGAGGGAACGCAGGGGGATAGCAGATATCTCCACGTGGTCGTCTATAATATGGAATAATATTACATAAAAAAAATCAGTGATTGGTATTGAAGGACGGAACAGACTAATACATTACATTAAGTTCCTACAATAAGTATTTCTATCAAATTCATATCAATTGTTCAGATAAAGGTAAACGTTTTCCTTAATTTTTGTTTTAAATTCCTTAATTTTACTTAAGGTATCAAGTGCTTGATGGTAAAGATCCTACCTTTATGGGCAATCTCTTTGAAATGGGAAATGATCTTCTCAAACTGTGGATTCTCCTCTCCGATCTGTAAATTATTCACATTTTTTAGGGTTAAATAGTTTAGCGCAGGTATCAAAGTATTTATAGCACGGAAAGAACTCAATGTATACAATAACGTACCACTTTGCTGTGTTGATAGTAGAAAAGAAAAAGATTTTGTAGTTAACATGTAAAAATTCAAATGTTAGAAGGATATAGGAAAGGTAAATATACCGAATAGTTATTAATTTCCTGTTTCGTAAAAAAATACAAATCATGAACAGAGCAAAAAAGCACGGACCCCTAGAAACACCAGAGATTGAATCAATTGCCTAGAAGGAGAAAGTATCCTTTGTTGACCGGACACACCCCCTTGAGCCCCCTGTATTGATCAAAGTTCTCCGTATTCAAAATTGGTATAAATACAATGGTCTACCCCTAGGTAGGAAACATGTCATTCAAATTACAGTGTAAATACGACCCAACGACAAGTTGTATTTGCAAACGCGTCATTTTTACGATCATACATTCTGCGAAAAACAAAATTGTTGAAAGACCTCTAACACCATTTATTTGTCAGTAGCCTTCATTGGTAAAAAAAAAAATGGTCATACTCCGAACATGATCTAACAAACCGAATTAATTGTAAGACGTGGAAATATACGTAAATATTGGAACTAACTGAGTCATCCCATTTATAATGAAATAGTAATATGTTTTCTTTTGCTACAGAGTGTTGAAAATAAGCACCAAGTGCTCTAGTACTCTAATTTATGATAAATTGGTTTTGAAATTGCTATTTTTAAGTGTTATTTATTCAAATAATGTGGTGAATATTAACATTATGTGGTGGATGATTATATCTTGTAGTATATTATAGATGCTGAAAAGGTAAGGTAAACTTTGTAAGTATGTGGATAAAGTTTACCTAACCTTTTAATTATAATTAACATACTAATAGATTTAATAGATAAAGACAAAATGATGCAGAAATTGCATTGTAAATGTGCTGCATTTTATGTGTAGAGGAGTTTCGTATTCAGCTTTAAGGTAAATATAAAATATTTATAGGTTATGTTGGAAAGTCATATACATGCAGTTGAGTACTGAGTAGTTGACATCATTAAAATGTAATAAATATTCAATTTGTTGAAATTTGGCAGGTTGTTGTAGCGAGAGGTAGAGATATATTCGGCTGAAGTTATAATTATTAAGACTGGGTGTTGGACATATATAGATATATACATACCTCAAAAAAGAATCCCAGAACTTTCAGTCCGTTGGCTTTGTCCATGGCCTGAGAAACATCGGTGTAGTGTGTAGAATGGTGGACGATATGCATCTAAAATGGCAGAAAAGATATAAGTATTATTGATTAATACTCAATGTAGGTGTAAAATTAGGACACGGGTAACAGAAAACTTAAGCGTTGGAAGTGCTTTGTTCTGTACTGTGCACGTACTTATTGTCACCGGCGAGGTACCTACCTTCGCCGCACATATTGTCCTCCATCGGTACACATTAAAACCGCTACAATATGTGCCGAGACAAGCCTTATTTCCACCGGCAGATTGAGGGGGGAGATGTGGGGTATATGTACAATACGTGCCACAAACATTTGCCCATTTTTTTGCCAAAAATTTGTTTCGAAAAATCATTTTACTGGGGTTCTATAGAGAGAGCGAGAGAAAGAGAGGGAGAGAGAGAGAGAGAATGTCCAATGAAGGTAGACATACCGAGAGGGACAGTTTGTATAATTTAGTCTTTGGTGTCGATATGTGCCAATGGACATAATCCATAATCACAGTGAGGGTAGTTGCATTTGTCGCCGATGACAATATTTAGCTTTGTACTTTAGCAGTGTTTAAGTTAGAGTAATTTTCTAAGGGTTCAACCCGTGCCCTACATGTGTTCTCATGTGGGTTAAAGGGTTAAAAACGTGGGTTTTTTTTTAATTCTTTGAATCAGTCCGCTATGATGTGAGCTATTACCTCCATTGGATAGCGTCTGGTGTCCAGGGCGTGTTCTGATCCCCTATCGTCTGTAGCTCCCCAGTGGAAGTGGAACTGAGCCACCTTAAAATCCTCAGACAAACCGCCTCCTCTTAACAGGGGCTGGGCACCCAACAGGTCTACTTGGACTGAATTCAAACATAATTATGTTTAAAATAGATTAAAAATGTCAAGAAAAAAGTTAAATTTATCATTATTACATTACAATTTCTCTTATAATTCGACAAATGTTGCCTGTTTATATTTTATTGAAAAAGGACATGTTTATGCAAGTTTTTCTTTGTCTGACATTTGATTATACGCTACTTCTGTGTGCTACTTAACTATAAGTATTACATGTATAGATTTGTATTTTACATGTGAAAGGAAACCTTTAATTAGACTGCGTATCTTACTTGTATGTCCGTTGTTTGTTAGACTCATGTTGACATTCTGGATTTGGTCGTACCCTTCCATCTCAAACTCTGTTAACTTCCGGTCCACAAACACTTTGTGAGTCTCTATATGGACGGGGGACTGATTGTCTCCCCCGCACGTGGGATACACCGCGTGCCAATGACTTGGGCCTGTAATGTATTCATAATTATGTTAATGTGACAAGAACTAATCTAAATTTACTCAAAGTTTAAAAGAACCCATCTGACTTAATGATAATACATGCGTTAGCTTCTTTAAAAGTTTTGTAAAGCCATGTGACCAGACGTCAAACTTTGAAACAGACTTTCATGATAATTTATGTTCTCGTACCTCTAAGATTCATTTAGAAAATAATAAATACCACCACAAACAATAACGATCATTCATAGGAGGTATTTTTCATACTTTGATTAAAGTTAATTAAATTCCAACAATATTACAGGTATTATACATGTATGTAAGGTTACACATTTTTATGTCCTCGTATCGAGGATTCGGAGGTATATAGTTTTTGCCCTGTCCGTCCGTCTGTCTGGGTTTTTTTTGTTTGTTAGTTTGTTTGTTTTTTTGTTTTTCCGCAAAAACTTTAACATTGCCCATAACATCTGATTGGTTGGAGCTATAACTTTCATATTTCACATGTGCATTCCTTGTGACAAGACCTTTCTTTGGGTATCATCATTATCTGACCTTTTGTCCTTGCCCTTGGAGTTTTACTCAGGTTTGCAAAATTTTACCGAACTTTAACCTTGGCCATAACTTTTGAACAATTAGTGCTAGGGCTTTCATACTTTACATGCGCAATCCTTCTGACAAAACCTTCCTGTAGATACCAACAACTTTACCCTTTGACCTTGACCTAGGAGTTTGACCTACTTTTGGAAAACTTTCACCCTGCCCATAACTTTTGAACAGGTGGTGTTAGGGCTTTCATATTTATCATGTCTATTTCTCGTGACAAGCCCTTCCTTTGGATAACAACAATTGTAATCCATTGACCTTGACCTTGGAGTTTGACCTACTTTTGAAAAACTTAAACCTTGGCCATAACTTCTGAACAATTGGTGCTACCCCTAACAAAAAATACTATAGTTAACTATAGTTTACTATAGTTAACTATAGTTAACCATAGTGATAACTTTGACACTAAGAAAACTATAGTTAACTATAGTGATAACTTTGACATTTTGATTTACTATAGTGATCACTATGACACTATAGTGATAACATTGACACTTTGATTTACTATAGTGATCACTATGACACCATAGTGATCACTATGACACTATAGTGATCACTATGAAAACTTGGAAATACTATAGTGATCACTATGAAAACTTGGAAATACTATAGTGATCACTATGAAAACTTTGATTTACTATAGTGATAACTATGACACTATAGTGATCACTTTGAAAACTTTGATTTACTATAGTGATCACTATGACACTATAGTGATCACTATGAAAACTTTGATTTACTATAGTGATAACTATGACACTATAGTGATCACTTTGAAAACTTTGATTTACTATAGTGATCACTTTGAGACTTTGATTTACTATAGTTAACTATAATAAACTATAGTTAACTATAGTAAACTATAGTAAACTACAGTTAACTATAGTATTTTTTTTTGTTAGGGACGGCTTTCGTATTTCACATGTGTATTTCTTGTGAGAAGGCCTTTCCTTGGGCACCATTAATTTGGACTATTTTACCTTGACTTTGATGTTTGACTTTTGAAAAAGACTTTAACCTTTTCCATATCTATTCAATAGTTGCTGCTAGGGCTTTCATATTTCACAGGTATATTCCTCGGGACAAGACCTTACTTTGGGTACCAACATATTTGATTTGCATTTGAAAAATTTCATTTGCTATAAATTGCCATATGGGGACATCAGTGTTTCACAAACACATCTTGTTTTTTCTAATGAGAATCTTTGATAAAAACAATCTCTCTCTCTCTCTCTTTCTCTGCATACTTACCATGATCTCCTTCATAGCTCCACTCGTTCCCTGAAAGAAAGTAACAAAAACATTAATTTACATATATATATCATCATTTGAAACCTTTTTATAGCATTTCACACCGATACTAAATTATAGACATTTAAGTCACCCAGTTCAGTTCCTTGTGTCAATCACGACATGCATTCATGTAAAATCCTTGATTATATTTAGTAACCACAAAAATTGATTGATTTCAGACTTGTCTGTCGGACTGAAATTTATCTCTCAAGATGGGGATTTGGAACATTTTAGCTCACATTCAAAACATCGAAAGAAAAACCCTCTTTGTATAAAGTTAAATCTGCATGTATTTATATGCATTGCTTAACATGGCTTGACTACTACAATCTAAGTCTTGGGCTGCAATAATCGTCTTCCAATGTTTTTATTTTTTTGTTTTCATTTCATTTTATTTTTTTTTTATGAAGACACTATCCCTTTTCAACTCCAAAGATACAGGAATTGAACAATAAATAAGATAGTGCATTCTTCCCTTGCCAAAATGAGAATCAACAAAAATAAATAATAAATATACATATATTAATCCGCAGTAGAATAACAAACAAAAAGACTGGTACCGACTGACAGTGGTGTCCATTTCGTGTTAACCCTCGTATACAAAAGACTGCCAAAAACAACAAACCTACAGCAAATTCTAAACTGCGAATTCAGCGTAAAAAAAAATAGCGCAATAAATATTGTTTTGCAATCCTTTCAATCAAAAAAAAAAAAATGAATAAATGAATGAATAAATAAATAAAAAAATAAATTGAGATAGTCTTTGATAAAGGCTAGGATGAACAAAACAGATGAATTTTCTTACCATGGTGATGATGATGAAGGTGATGACCAATGCTTATAACACTGCCCGCATTGGTGAGAACCACCCAACACGAAACCATAAAAACAAAGTCTAGACAATGGCGAAAATCAATGGACAATTGCATCCTGAGGTTGCAAATATTCCAAAAATAATCCACTGTTCCCTCCCCGAATAGCGAGACCACTAAGACAAATGTGAAATAAAGGGATTGTGATGTCACAGACAATACAGAGATCTGCATGTACTAAAGAATACCAATGAAAAAAATCTAAATGTCCCTAAATAGATGACAACTAGTCAGGGCATAACCTGTTCACACAGAGGCTGAGCAGGCTTAATAAAAGCTGAATCTTCAATTTGTTTGTTGGTATCATGATTATAAATTTTTATGGTTTGTGGGTTTGAATTAATAAAGAAATGCTAATAGAGTCACGTTCAATTTTGAATTAAAAATTCTACATAGAATGATCAAAAGCCAGCAAATCAGATAAATTTAGGTAGCAAAACTAAAAACACTGCATATTTCTTTTCTTTAATTAGTTAAGGTTAATTAATAATTATTAAATGCACAATCAATAACTAAACCATGCACTTTTTTCAGTATTAGAAAATGCATCAAAAAATGATTCCACTTTTTAAAATGGAAGTTCTCAGCTTCGCCAAGATTTGAAAATTAAGGAAAAATAAAGAATGAAATAATAATAATAAACGGTATAGATATCAAACAACAACAACCAAAGAAACACTGGAAGTATTCTGGCCAGAGGTGACCTTAGATTCCGCGTGAGGAATGTGTTACCTGAGCAGACAGGTGTTCTGACACCTTGTTCAACAGAAAATGATGTAATAACAAATGATTGAAATCATCAACAAAGATTATCAGGCCTGATTAGTACATTTCAGTATGTCCTTGTAAACTGTTCCGATACCCGTGTGATGCTTATCAAAGGCAGGTTTTTATTTACTTTAAAAACCATGTGGCCTATTTGTGTAAACCGTATAAATTCATATTTCAAACGAAAATGAAGAACTGGAAAACGATTTCCAGACGAAAGGAAAGATAAGAAATCTATAGGCAATATTACAGTAACATCGATTGTTAAATCATTAAAATAAATCTACAATGCTTTCTGTCATCATGTGGTATGTTGACATAAAATGTCCTTGTTCAGGATTTCGGTGAACTATAGGATGGTTAAAACAATTAAAACGCGCCTTTGTATTGTTAAATTCCATAGAAGCTAATATAGACTGCATGTACACAAGTAACATATTTTTTCTACCGTCAATAAACATTTAGATAAGGTCAACAAAACTTCATGCAATGAAACTATAACGATATTTTTTTCAGTTTCAGTGCGGATTTAGGGCGCTCTGAATATTAAGGAATTCTTGATAGAGTGTATGCTATTAAAATCACATTAATTTCAATTATTGCGAACCTCTGTTGTTATTTATAACTCCTCTAGGGAAAGGGCTAAAATATATACCGTCCCTGCTGTCAAACCCATTCTCTTTTGAGAAGGAAATATTGTTGAGATAAATAACTTCTTTAAAGTTTGCCTCCACCCCAGCCCGGCCATCTCCACTAGAAATACTGGATCCTCCCCAGCAGTACATGTCTTATGATACGTCGCCATTCTTGTTTAATTTATTCATTTCTGCTATAATTTTGTTATATAATAACCTATATATACTAAACATACATGTGTATATAGTTCGGTACGGTTTTTGCTATAAATAAATTCAATGCTTAAATATTTTAGGAAGTAAATTAGCCCCTTAGTTCGCATAAGTAAAAATATTAAACAGCATGTGGAAGTAATTAATTAAATAATTCTATAAATATAGTGTATTTTGTATTTTCAGACCTCTGCAATAATTCTGGTTTCATTTAAAAATGAGATGCCCTACATGTTAACGAGAGTGCAAAATAGCCTTGTGATAAGCAGCACTCCGGTATTTATGAGACAATATCTCCGCAGGCCAATTACTATTACAAAGTTAATTGACTTTATTAACATACAAGTATGAACAGATGGCAAAATCTTTTAAATACTTTTTATGGAAAAGTAAAATTTATAAAACAAATAAATAAATTAATAAATAAAATAAAAATGTATAGAATTGTTTAAAGTAGAGACGAAAGTGCTTAATTGCAATTTATAATTATAATTTATAAGCCTCCTTAAATCAATAATCAGGAAATCTAAAAGATTCAGATGAAGTGTAGTAATCCATATTTATTTCAGAGGGGACATTTATTTCAGTTAGCTAAATTTTGAAGAAAATTGCTTTTGATCTGAAGGATCCATATTTAACATTTTTATATTGCATTCTAAAGTGATGAAACAGTAAAAGATACTAAAGACACAAAACACTTTCTTACCAGCTCCAGCGGCCGTGAGGTCAAAGTTCCAACCGAGACAATGTAAGAGAATCAATATCAGGTACATATCGACAGATTTAAGATCAAACGTACAAATTTTAGAAATCCAGAGATCGCCCCTATATATATGGTGAAAGCAGATGGACACTTGACTCTGATCGCCATACCGATTGAAGTAGGGTCATCGACGTCAGAATACCAAACATAATCAAACGCTAAATCGCTAGATCGGAAAACCGACAAGCGCAAAGAACAAAAAAGTCAAGGAAAGTTTGTCAAATGATTGATTGTGGTAAGAAATGGGAAAAATAAACAAAGGCTGATGATGTAAGAGTGCACGTGTGCATATACAAGGATTTGTTGCAAAGATAATTATGACCTTAATGGAATGGCGTACTTGTACTCTTGTGCGCTGTTGATTTTAATAATAATGGACAGTTAAAACTAATATCCGACTTTCCCCCTCATCATTACATTTTATATTCTAGTATCTAAATAAGAGACAAAGTTGGAAAAAGATTTAAAACAATTTTTTTGAGAACATTTTTTTTTTTTCATCTTTTATTTCACTTTATTTCACAAAATGTTTATAACAAATACTGTACATTATTAATTTAATAATAGTTTCGTGTTCTGCTTCACCAAATAATTTACAATTGTGAAATAAAAGGAAGAAGGGAGAGGCGTTCAGTCTGAATCAGCATTGCACAGGATTTGAAAGAAGAAAGAATCATTTAAAAAAAAAAAAAAAAAGATGGCAGGGGTATGGACAAGATAATTTTTTAAGCTGTTGCATTTTTTGATTTGTGGGAAAATGGAAATAACCTTTATCCTTCATAAATGACAAAATATTTACACGAAAAAGAGTGAAGATAACGAACAGTGATATTGCATTCGTTGTACCGGTACATGTACTGCAGTAAAATTTTATTTCTTCTCTCGGTTCATTATTATTATAGGGTGATTTCAAAGAACCATAATAAAGTTCGACCAAAGCATATATCTGCACATAACTTTTTAACTTATTAATCACAACCAACTTCTTACTTGAATTTGTTAAATAAACAAGTTATTATAAACTTTTTTGTGCGGAATGGATGCAATTCAATTTTTCCAATCAATATTCCTATTTGCTCATTTAGTAATAGAAAAGTACTTGACAGACAATTGAATTTTCCCTTCTTAAGAAGTGCTGATTTTTAAAATTGCAAAACTCAAATCCCTATTTCATGAGAAAAAAAGGGGAAATCAAGTAAATTAAAGTTCAGTTAGGCTACCACGTTATAGCACTATTACTACATGAAGAGAAATAATCGCGTAAAAAAGGGGTCCTTACATTTTCAGCAATGAAATATTGTAATTATACAATTAGACAATTTAAGGTTCGTTGAGCCTTTGATAAATGACTATCATTGCTTTATGAAATTGTCAAGTAAAAGGGCCATTTTTGTCAAAATTTTCCCCGCAAGGAATATTGAAATGGCGTGCATTTTTACTATAAAATACATGTATTTCTTTGGATTATCATCAGGGTTAAAGCAATGTTTTTATAAGATTAAACAGAAGGATGGTGAATCTCAAGCGTCCAGAACAGCAAGATGATGTCACGTGTGGACTATTTACTTTTTTTTTAAAAACAAACCTGAACTATTTTCTTTATACATACATCACATTGTACAAAATATAAAAACCACGGACCATTTCATGTTAAGTACATTAAAGTCAGCTAGTAAAAGCTTGTTAAACTCCCTAAAGGACAAGGTACAGTAACAGCAAGATTTGGCCCCTCGTTTGATAGAAAATCAAAACCCAGTTTAAATATTAATATTATAAATTTACATCTAGTGACATAAAATGTGAAATGTGTATATCAGATGAGATAGAGGACGAATTTCACTTTGTATTAAAATGTCCTCGATATGAAGAACTAAGAATGAAATATATCAAGAGTTATTATTTTAAAAAACCATCAGTATTTAAATTAGTACAGTTACTGAGTTCCACAAATACTAAAGAACTATGTAACCTAGGTAAATTTCTGTATTTTTCCTATCAATTAAGAAATGATGTTTAAAAAGTGTACAATAAGAAGTGATAATACATTAAATGCTATTGTTTATGTAATTGCCACATGTATATTGTATAGCATATACTACACTTATCCTGTGCAAAGCTTATGTATAAATATTTATGTACATATTTTGTATACCTATGAGATGTAATGTCTCTGGTTCAAATAAAACATAAAATGTTACTTGTTTTAAAAATAGCATTTATTTTAATATGAGGTGTTAAATGGCCATTAGAGAATAACAATTTAGATCTTTATACCATACTATAAGTTTTGTTTAAAAAAAATTGCGTTTATTCATGAATGTGCTAATTAGTCTTTGAGAAAGATGCGCTAAATTTTGAGTGCGCTAAGTTTACAGTATAACTGAATTCAGACAAATACAGTAGTTTTATCAGATAACATTTAGATAGTGTTGCTTTCTATAATTTAATTTGTCAATCAAGAATAATAATTTTCCAGGTGCATCATACAGTTTATACAGATTAACAACAGTAAACTTACAGAATGTTACTTTGAACTTTTTTAGTTCCTAGAGCGGTTAAAACATTGATTTTGAAAAAGGGAGAGAGAGAGAAACATTACGCTATTATTCTAAAAATCCTTCGGAAATACAGAGAAATGAGCAAGTGAAGTAAAAATGAAAGATGAATTTCATAATTTGAAGGATCGAAATAAAACAAATTCCTATAAAAGAAAAAAAAAAGATAATCAAACCTGCCGCTGCAGAATACGAGGCGAGACATAAGAGCGCTATGGCTACCAGAGTCCAGGCAAAAGACATATTTCTTGGTTCCCTAACGGTGCTACCAAAAATTCGGATCTGATGTGAGAAAACAGGTACCCGGCCCTATATATATAGATACATGCCGAGCTAAATTTAGAGCTTATATTTAAATTCATACTTTGCTGCTGGCAAAATTATCAATTTTGGAGAATCATTTGTATGCTTGTGGCTGACCTTTTACTCCAGTGACCTAAAGATGACATACCTGTATTTGGAAGATGGAGGATATTCAAATAGTTATATGTACAATGTATAAATACAATGCATTTCAGTGGTATCAAAACTTGTTTACTGTTAGTCAAAGAAGACACACCGAATCGTAAAACTTCAAAGCAGTCGCGACATATTCAAATATTCTATAATTCATCTATAGTTGTTTTCCCCGCCTGTCAGTAACAAAGGTTTCCCTTTTGTTTGAGAAGAACTTAACTTGCGACATATTATGTCATTTTTATTTTTTCAGAAGTTGGCCTGGTCGTAACAACATTCTTCAGATTAATTTATTACTGTTAGAAATTTAAAACTTCTTCGAATGAACGATCGATATAATGCAAAACCCAAAAAGGAATTATTGTTATTTTCAAGAGTTTATTTCTCACTCTTGAAAACATTAGGGATGTGTTTTGTAATTTTTTTTCCCCAAAACTGTGAACCTACCGAAACGAATCCGCAAAATAGCCAACTTTACCTCTTTTCTTTTCATTCTTGTATCAAATATTCGTATATCAAATATCAGTAGCGGATCCAGAAACTTCAAAACGGAATGGGCGCTGAGAAAGGATGGTTTTTCTTGAAAAACGAAAACAAAAACTCGAAATTACTTTTTCGGGAGGTATATGTAGGGGAGGCGGTTGGGGTAGGCTATGGGGGGTTAGAGGAGGTTTAGGCAATTTTTTTTTTTTTTTTTTTTTTTTTCTTGTATCAACACGTTACGTGTGAACTAAATTTAGAGTATATACAAGTTAAACAGCGTGTTCAAGCAAAAAGGGAGAAAAAAAAAGAGAAAAAAAAACCTCAAAGGGAGGGAATATACTTTTAAGCGTGACTTAATGTCCGTTGTTTATGGTTTCTGTATTTGAAAAAGTTTACCAAATTATAAAAGAAACTTGTTCATAGCTCTCTTTGAAAGTTAAATTGTACTAACTCGAAAATATAATTCACAGTGTCTGAAAAATTAATCATTATAACTAATGACACAGCATATCGATAGAAATCAAATCTGCACAGCTCTAGACGTACCATCCAGTAATTACAAAAGATAGCAGTGGGTGGGGTTATTTATTTCATTAAAAAAAATAAACCACAAAGAATTCTCACATGCATTCAAAGCAGCTGATGCACATAAGTAACCGCAGATAAATGACCCCGTGATG